TGCATACATAATAAAAAAATTAGGTGACGAAATTATTTTTCGTCATTATTTATATTTTTTTTGTCACTAAAGATTTTCCCGCTAATTTTTCGAATGGCGCCAAAATTTTCAAACTTTTGGTGAGGAAAAAATTGGTCACCAATAATAAAATTATTAATGACAAATATATTTTCGTCACCAATAATTTTTAATATTTTAATATTATTTAGTGAGAAAATTATTTCCGTGGCTAATAATTTTATTTTTTTGGTGAGGAAATAATTTTGTCACGTTGCTAAAGGTTTTTAGAGGGAAATGTATATATTGGCACCTTAGATATATCAGTTCTTCTCACACACAGATTTGAGCACCAAACCTCACCCTACATGACCTCACGCCTCACGCCTCTGTGTCTCTTCTCTCTCACGCCTCACGCTTCTGCCCTCCTCTCTGTTATTGGAGCATCACCACAAGGGTTAGACGAGCACAACGCAAGGGTTAGACGAGCACACCGTAAGGGTTAGCACCACTGTCGCTTTGTCTCGGGTAGGTATGTCCTCTATTTCGCCCTCTCTCTCTCTTTCTCTCTGTGTGTGTGTGTGTGTCTCTCTCTCTCTCTGTCTTCCTCTCTACGTCTTCTTCGATTCGCATATACCTTCATACCCAACCCTAAAGTCGACCTGGCCCCAAATCGACCCACCTTGCTCGAGTGGTGATTGGACTGCTCTTTGGATTTCACCGCTTGTACACCCGTAAACAGTTGGAACAATGCTTCCAGCCGTGCTTGTTCTTGCTCTCTGGACTTTTACCCCTTGAACACCATTACAACAGTCCAAACATGCCTTTTTTTTAATTGATTCTTGTCAATAGGGTGATTGGGGAAGATCCAATTCAATTTTATTTTCTCAATAAAATAAAGAACAAGAATTTAATGACCCCTTTAAATGATTGATATGTAGAATAGCTGTTCTCATATGTAACTATCTATCTCATTGGAAAATCAGGCATATTAATTAAAATGGCGAGTGAATGAAAATGAAATGGTATTTTTTTCCTATTGGTTTTTGGTGCAAAAGCAACTAATATTAATGTTGATTGAGTCAGACATGAGTTAATAGGATTGATGAGGTTTTGATGTCTTAATTTCAGGTCTGAACATAAGAGTTAAGGTGTTGCTAATATGGTTACTGATATGGGTATGATTATACCAATAGTTACTAATATGGTTGCTGATATGGGTATGATTATAACATTACACCCATAGTTGCTGATATGGGTATGATTAAATCGATGATGAAATGGTTTTTGTGATTAAAATAGACGATTAAAGACTTTCCACCATCATCACTGCCATTAATTAAGACACTTCTCATAATTGACCCAGCTGAACGTCAAACTACCACAGCTGCATTGAGGAGTGAAGTGAGCTTTTATATTATTGCCCCTCTTTATTTGCTGTATTTGCAATATATAGGCTCTTGTTTGGGTGGTTTCTGCTTTAACTGGTTTATGGTCAAATAACTTTCAAGTTTATTTTTTCATGTTAATCACTTACCAAAATATGTAAGGTTCTCCTTTTAGGATATGACTAACAAATTAGTGAAATGAATTAATTCAATTACTAAGGCCCAGGATTGCCAAATAGTTTCTGAAGTCATTGTTGAGTCTTTTTGATAAAACTGAAATTTATGTACTAAAAAGTTTATTACTGAATAAAACAAAGGCCTAGAATATGGTTATAGTAGGATGCTTGTGCTATCAATGAATGTGTGTGATTGTGCTATCAATGAATGTGTGTGATTGTGCTATCAATGAATATGTTTGGTGCTTTTAGCTTGACTCTAAAACAGAGGCAGCGGGGTTTAAGGCCTTACGCATTGTAAAACATAACAGCTTAAGCTTGAAAATAGGCGTTTTAAGGGCATAATTGTGAAATAGCTATCTTTTTTAACACTTAATCTTGAAAATTAGCATCCGGAGGGTAAAATTGTGAATTAGCCATAAGAATTGGTTCAAACACCTTAATAAGGAGAAAAGTAACTCATAGAAACTCACAAAACAAGCATGAGAGTCCTAGTTTCAAAATTAAGCTCAAACTTGTATTTTTTGAACACCCAGACTCAAAAATAGGCATTTGAAGGGAAAATTTGTCTAATAGCTATGAAAATGCCCAGGAATTGGTTTGAGCACCTTATTAAGGATATAAATGACTTGTAGAAACTCATGGAACAAGCACAAGACTTAGTTTCAAAATTAATCTCAAACTTACGTGTATGAACACTTGACACTTAGAAATGAAATAAGTTTAGCCAATTCAATTAATTTTAACTATATTTGTATATTATTTGTGAAGTTAATGTATTGATAAAATATTCATATTTTTCTCTTTCAATCCATTGTAAATAACTAGCCTAAGAATTATTATTGAGAAATTTAGTTATCAGAGTTGCTAGATTATATTTTTGGAAAATGTTTAGTCAAAAGTCTCTCGCTAGCTTCAAGGTAAAATGTTTTATATATGTTGATTGTCAAAAATTAAGTTTCTTCTTAATAATGATATCTTTTCTTGTTTTTATTGGTATTTCAATTGTGTAGGAACAATCACTAGCTAATGTGAATAATATGGCGCAAATGAAGACAAAACATCGATGTGGATCAAAATCACACTACTACAAAAACAGATAAAGATCACACTTTTTTTTGTGTGATCTATGTTATTTAATCACACCTTTTAAGTTTTATTAAAGTGTGATCTTTGGGAGTCTGATTAAAAGGGATCATTTTTAATCACACTTTTTAAGTGTGCTTAATAACATTTAGATCACACCTTTTAAGTGCGATTAAAAATATTTAGATCACATCTTTTAAGTGTGATTAAAAATATTTTGATCACACCTTTTAAGTGTGATCTTTGGAAGTGTGATTAAAAAGAATCATTTTTAATCATACTTTTTAAGTGTGATTAATAACATTTAGATCATACCTTTTAAGTGTGATTAATAACATTTATATCACACTTTTTAAGTGTGATTAAAAATATTTACATCACTTCTTTTAAGTGTGATTAATAACATTTAAATCACATCTTTTAAGTGTGATTAATAACTAATAAAATCTGTGACAAAAAAAGGGTGCTACATATGTGAAAAATAATCAATATTATTTTTGTATGCACATTTGAAGAATGTAATACACACTATATACTATATTTTGAATCATAACCACATATTGAATAGAATAACGTCATATATTTCATAAATGGAAATTAAATATTCAAAACTATATACAAAGGAATTAAATAAAAAAAATTATATGTGCTTACATATATTAAAAAATGAAAAAACTTAAAAAACTAAGTTCCTTAATTCTTAGACCATATTTTGCATCTCTCCAAAAAATTTCTGACCTGAAAAATGAAAACACAAATTAATCCAGAAATCGCTGATGCATATGAATAAACTAAAAAGTTAATTCAGCAAACCAAAATAGGAACATTAATCATTTCTACTTGATCTTAATCCTTTTGGAAGCAACTTCCCTGTTAACAATTAGATGCCACTGCAGGTCAGTGTCAATGACATTGTAATTAGGAGGTCACTAATGAGCACAGTATTTAAAAATGATAAATCTCAATACAGCTTGTGTACGATCTTTTTGTCAATGTATATTATTATTACTGTTGAACCATAATTCTAGGTACCCATAAATAAATAAATAAAAACTCAAGAATTTACTCCATTTTTTTTTTGGTTGGGGGAGGAGAGGACATACATTGCAGTTACTATCACCAGCAGCACCAGGTTTTGGCCAAAACCCAGTGTTTGAGCAACCATTTGAGGAATGCGTGACTTTGGAGCAGCACTGCCATTCTACATACAAGGGACAATTTGGATGGCTTGATGATCAATATGAATAATGAAAACAGGTTAAAAAAAATATATAAAAACAAAAATCCAAAATTGCATGATGCAACTTGTAGTCATACAAACAACAGGAATTAAAGTATATATATATCAACTTAGTAAATAATGCATTAACTGGTACTTGCAGTGGCTACAAATAACTTAGTTTTGTACTGTTCATACAATAACTTAGTACATTTATCACTGAGAATTTAAAAAAAACAAACAAACAATTCAACTACTTACACTTCCCACATAACACAAATAAACTAAAAATAAATCAAAACTCACAAACAAAAGCCAAAATATCCCCAACATTTATCACTTTGATAAATTTCTCGATATCACTACCAGTACCAAATGATCATTCCACTAACACAAATCACATCAAAAAAGTCCTCAAAATTTCTCATTATCAAAATGATTGGCAAATACCTATCTACTACCATTTCACATGGTATTATATAATCTACTTAAACAACTGTTTTACTCCTGATGCAAATATATCAATTACCTAAGGTTTTACCATTGCATTTGAAGTTGCACTTGTTCTTCTTTAACCTGACATACATGCATACCAACAACAACAAAAAAAAAAAAAAGAAAGAAAAAAAGAAAAAGAAAAATCGTACAAGCATTGCCTAGAAAAAAAAGCAATGATAAAAAAGTAGGGCTGTTCATCTAACCCGGAGACCCAGCAAACCGTCCAATCCGAACCCACCCGACGAGCTACGGACAGTTTCGCATGTGCTGTGGTTCGGTTGTGGGTGTAAACCTATTGTTTTAACAAGTTCACGGTCGGTTGTGGGTGTAAAACATTTCAAATCACATCATATTTCAATGAACTAAAGAAACCGATCGTCAAAACAGGTACAGACTACAGAGATAAGACAAACAGTAAAGGTCATAAACCAACCCAAATATGCCATAAATAAGATATCAGGTTAATCCTTTGTATGCACCAGAGACACATAAGAAAACATACCATTGCAGAAGGATTATCCAAACCAACATGAAGTGCAGGGAAGTATGTCTCTTCACCAGATTCTAGCACTTCATTGGAAACCTAAATGGATAAATATATGTCAACAAGGACTTCAACCAAACAAAAATATTTAAAAAATGCAGCTAACTGATGAGACATCTAAACCGATTGCATAACCTAAATAACATCAAGGGACAACTTCATAAATATATAACTTCAAGGAATCCATAAGAAACACTGAAACTGAATTACCATTGTGCAAATACCAGACAGACTATGGATAATTTTTTTTGATTTTATTCTGGGCAATATGATCCATTAAACTAATCAATTTTCAGCTCACACCTCAAATTATCCATGCTGCTGGCTATATTGATGTTGCAAATTACCAAATTACACCATTTTTAAGTTACAACAGTAATATTGTTAAAGGAAAAAAATAAGAACAGAGAGGTTATTGATGATCTAGGAAAAACCAATATCATATAGCATGCAGAAAAACCAGTATAATTATCCATGCTGCTGGCTATATTGATGTTACAAATTACCACATTACACCATTTTTTAATACAACAGTAATATTATGAAAGGAAAAAATAAGAACAGAGAGGTTATTGCTGATCTAAGAAAAACCAGTATAATAATGCATGAATCTTAGCCTTCTAGCCTTCCGCCCTCCGGAACAGAACGGAAGTTCCACATCCCAACTCAATCCTCATAATTGGTCAGTCCCAACTTCAACAGTGCAGGAGACTGGGAATGTGTTGGTACTTGAACCATATTTCCATATTTATTATTCACTCTTACCATATTCTTAATCTTAAATGGTTGATATAGATTAATGGGCCATTTTTGCCTGCCACCAGATTCTGTCCAGGCAATTTGGGACATTCTCTGATATGTTAGCGGAGGAAGGAAATAACATACAGCTTTGAACTCAATTTGGGCTAATTTTCCAGGATTTAAATTCATCCCAAAGGATGCCCTATATACTCTCCACAGCCAACTAAAAAATCTTAAGAAAAATGACCTCTGCATCCAAATGTACAGAATTACTTCTTTATGGAAATTCCACTGGATTAGTTTCTTCTTCATTTGAAGAGTAATAAAAGATCACAGTATTTTGACTAAAAGAAAAGTGGGAAAGCGAAAACTACAATTTTGGGTTTAATAAAATGAATCAGGCTTGCATGTGATGAAGAAAAATGTTGCGCATGCCATTCCGACCATTGCTGTAGTAGCTGCTCAAGGTTCCGTTTACTGCCTCTGTTAAAGAAAACTTATCCATTCAGAGGTTGACCAAAAACATCACATCTTAGAATTCCTCTTTCGGAGGAGCATCATGTTTTCAAAAGCAAGTGAAACAAGCAACTCTTCTTTTATGAAAATACCTTGATAGAGAATTATACATCACACGCACTGAAGGTTGCTGCTCATCAGCTGTCATTCTGGCTTTCTTAACACCAGAAATGGCTAACATGCAAAATTATGGAAAGTTTGCTGCCATTCCTGTTTCATTAGTGAAATTTCACTATTTCCATACAACTTTGTTATTTTAACTGTATAAACCTTTATTGAGATTTATAGATTTTGACAAGGGGATTAGGCATGATTATCACAGTTACCGATAGTGATTCTAAAATTCAACTGATCTCATATCTATTCTTTGCTAAACTTGAGGACAGTTTCAAATGTTTTCGTTTATATGCAATATTAAAATAAAAGACGAGTGTAAAAGGTAGGTAACAGAATCATACCTCTAAAGGTACAATCTTCAAATCAAGGAATTCAATGTCAATTATGAATTTCCCCATTAATGGAACCTCAATTGCCCAAACAAAATCGTCGTTATTCTTGAGCTTCTTGTCTGTAATTTCTGCATTGACATAAGATGACACCAGTTAAACAGCATTGACGAAAGAAAATTTATCAACAATAGACTTGATGAAATTCTCATCCTGAATTTGTTCTATCAACAGGTGTTGTAATGCTAATCTGCAAAATTCTATACCTAGATTTAACACAATTAAGACTTTAAGAGCATCAATTACAAACAAAACATGCACAATTGGGTGTTATAAGCACTAAGAAATTAGTACAAAGTCCTTAAAGAATCTAAAGAACAAGAAATTAAGAAACATCTAATTGTAATTTATTACCTGGGTGAATCAAAGACTTGCCATCTCCCACGGAGCAGACCACTCGAATGATAAACGATGCAATTGGAGGACTGTCTCTGGTTAAATTCGATATTTCTGGGTATAGTTTAATGAGCAACGTTCGATTCTTCTCCACAGCTAAATGCCTTCAATTCAAATAACCAATTGAATAAAAAAAAAAAAAAAACCCCCACTCTGACCTTTGAAGACAGCATAAAAAAACTAAAAATAACAACTGCAAATCAAACAATTTTTTTTTTTAAAAAAAAAGGAAAAAAAAAAGCAGAGTTTTTCCAGGAAGAAGGAAAAAGGGATAATTTTCTTG